TAGAAGTACCGGGGCACCAAAACGCACTATCCGCAACTCGGTTGTACTGCTGTGGAAACTCCTGTTTGAAATTGCGATGGTCATCGATCACAGACAGCTGCGGAAAACACGGACAGTCAGAGTTCACAGCGAGCTTGTGCTTTAACAGGTTCAGCCAAAGTGCGTTTTGTCATTGCGTGCATCTGTGTCTCATGGAAAATCTAAGCTATAAAGAAATCAACTCGGACAATATAAGCAACATGCCTTAGCGCTTCAGTAAAACGATTGAATTACAGAGCACTAAAGGTTTCAAGGAAGCATTTCTCTTCCAGGCCCCAATCAAAGGTACAACAGTCAGAAGCTGGGCCTACAAAAGAACCTAGCTTTCATGCGTACGTGTCAGAGGCCTGACACAGACAGGTCGACAGCTTAAAAATCTGCAAAACGGACAATATACTTACAACAATTTTGAAATAGTCACTTGGGATCACCATGTCTCCATTCTTGACCCATTTCACAGTTGGAGTAGGTTTTCCAGTCACCTCACACTCAAACACGATGTCCATAGATTCATGAGCATAAATATTTGCAGGCCGCTTCAGAAATTCAGGAGGAACTTCAAATAAAACAGAAAAAAGACAAAAGATGGTTTTAGCGTCCCCAAGACCACATCAGTTGTGCTCGTACTCGAAACTACAGCAAGACTCACCACCGAAAAAGATGGGAGTCAAGCACGAGGAGTAGTAACGTTGGCAGAAATTTTCAGATCGGGGTTTGACAGAAGCTGATACAAGGTCCGTGCTATTTCAAAATTACATTTGGGCCAGTTAAACAGCCAGCCATTTTAATTTAAAATGACCCCTTGAGAATACATGAAAGAAGAAATCGAACCGAGATGTATAAAGTGTCCGGTTAAAAAGTATTTGAAAAATCAAGAGACATGGATGCCATTTGGAAAAAAATATTTCCATGGTTGAAGAACACGTTGCGGTCTCTTATCTGCCGCAGGCGTGTTGCTGCACGCTGAAGAGACCGCGGCAGGCAGTGGATTTCAGGCATTATCCACACTCTTCCTTCGCCGACTCAGAGCTCATCTGAGCAAATCACTTAGTGCTTAATTGTGCAACCGTTTCAAGCGCCTTTCACAACTAAAGAATCTTGCGGGATAAGCTCCCCAGCAAGACAACACAAGGTTGTACAAAAGCCTTCCTGCAGCAAAGTTTATTAATTTCTAGAATAGAAAGATAATAAGTTAGATTTGAAATGAAAAAGTCAGAATCTGATGAAAACGGCTGTCTAGAACTTTTTCAATAATCTACACTTCGACGCCCAGTAAGTCCAGCTGGAGCTCCATAAACCACCGAATGGCGCGGCGCAGTCAGGCTACCTTATACAGGAGTGTATCGTGATTAGCGACAATTTGTTTATTCAGACAAAATTCTGCAGTTGATACAACAGACGTTTTTCAGAGAGTTCATTGTACTCGCTGCTTCAAGTCAGGAGGTAACCAAAAGCTAAAATTATATTAAAAAGACTCTTTTAAATGAGCGGGCACAAAACTAAGATGAAACTTTCCTCGGGTACCATTGCCTCGTGTTTCTGTGAAAAAACTCAGCTTATCAAATAGACAGTGCTGAATTTATCCATAGATTTTCCTCTCTGGTTTGCGTAAGCCCGAGAAACGCTACGTACGGGACTACCTGCACACGTTTGCACCGTATCGATAACGTACCACAGACAGGTATGACCAAAGACATGCATCGCCTAACACGGTAAAACAGAAAGGCTCTGCGTTTAAGACACATACCAAAGTCGGTACCTCTGGCTCTCGGCTGCCTTTTTACATGTCCTTACCTACTCAGAGTAAGATTAATTAAATGAAAGGTATTTTAAGTCCATAAAACCTCCGAGAAAGAGAACTTTTTGGTAATACAAGCCCCAAAGCATCCGACATCTTCTGTGAAGGAACGTGCCGCTAAGCAGCACCCCGCTGTGTCCGAGGACTCTCCGCTGCTTTAGCTTAGCGGCAGAAAGAAGAGCTGTTTGCAGGCAGGTACAATCGGAGTATCATCTGTTATGAAGAACAGTCACCTATTTATTTGTTTTTACTACACTCCCAGACCTAAGGACGATTCCAGGAAAGTCAAAAGCGGCCTTCTGCCCTTTAATATTTATCAAAGAAAGTCAACATGGAAGGGCTGCAGAGTTTAGGCAAACATTTTACACGCTTCACCTATCAATGGGATTTATTTCATGCGAGGGAATAAGGAATGCTAGATCATGTTTTACTTCTGCCCGTGAAATGACTGTAAAGGTTTATAGGTAGATTTAATATTTTTTTAAAACAGATAGCTGGAGACAAGCAGCTCTCCAAAACCCTGCCAGTTTTGGATTATAAATTAAACAAGAGAACGTTAACATATGGAAATACTTATTTATAGAGTAAGAAGATGGTCTAACTCTCGGATAAGCATATAAACCTATACCAGAAACTACATAAAGATGTACATATACGTTCGCCGCTCAGAATCTCTCACATAGGAGCAAAAATCTGGATGGGGCCGAGTCTAGTTCCCTCTGACTTCAGACATCCCTTTTATAAAATCATTTCCATAAATTTACCAAAACTGCCATAAACTCCACCTTAAAATGATTTAGGTATTTTTGTACTTACTATCTGTATCAGATGGCCGTTACAACCGTTTATAACTCTGACATTTGAAAGCTGCCTTCTGAATTTACTGGCGGCCAAATTGTGATTACTTATACTTTCTGAAAACAGGGCCTTTTCCTCCCTGGCATTTATCCTTGGCATTTTTATTTAGCGTGAGCGGCACTGTTTCTCCCCCCCCCATACCCCAGCCTTTATTTTGGCAGGCTCAAAAAGTCCTGTATGACAAGTCACCCGCGCACTGACAAGTCACCCGCGCCCTCCTCTCCCAGACCCTCCGTATTTGTTCTAGTTGGAATTCATCTTTGCAGCCTGTAGAGTTTCAATTATTTGCATCCAATTTCAGATGTGTCTCACCAGTGACTTGAAAAATGGCATAAATACAGCGTTATCACTCCAGCAAATATCTTGCCCAATTCATTCTACTACTGTATTTGCCCTTTCCTAGATGCCATCATACTGATGTGAGAGATCATTGCTCTCTCTCATCGTTAGCCATTTTTAACTAATGAGTCATTTTCTTCCAGTCTGCTTGATCAATAGTTTACGTTCTCATTTCCTTTCCGTCTCTTTCTCCATGTGTATACCGACACATACCCTGATTGTTGAAGTGCTTGCATAGTTGAAAAAAGGGGACATAAAAATTGGAAACAGGAAAAGTTAGTTTTTCTATGAACGTACGACGATCCTATTTGCATAACGTTCATATTTAATTCCTTAGCCATATATTAAACTTATTACAGGAATCCTAATAAACACAAGCCTATAACATTCGCTGTTAAAAGCACAAAATTTGTGTAAAAACCCCTCATCTGATGCCCTCAGAATACATCCTGGTTGCTGTACTGAGTCGCTACGGTGTCAAACCCCTGGATGAGAAAAGGGATACGTAAGAGAAGTTCAGTGAAATCCCGAGTGGCTCTTAGCACAAAAAAATTGCTGCTCTGGGTTCAAGTCTGCCTTAGGCAAAGTTAGTTACTTTGTATTACGATAACATTTCTCTTTAATCAAACCACAGTTTCATCCAATTTCTCATTTAACTTCTCGGTGTTTAATGGTTCTCTCTTTCAAAAGCCTATTTAGACGCCTTTTTCTTTTGGAAACAATGAGCATAAACATCACAGAGGAGACACCCCAGGCCTTCCCTCAATCAGAGGAGCATCAGAATGGGCAAGCCCCTACTCCGCAGTGTACACGCGTCGTCTGCCCAGCGCAGGCTGGGTGACGGGAGGATCCTATCGCAAAGTCCCGGAGACAGATGTCTCTGGTGGTATTCTGCGTGTTTTCCTCTTTGAATATGTTGCCGGAAGTTCTGACATCCCTCAACATCCAACTACCAGGCAAGGGACTTCCATGATACTTAGCAGAAAATAGGAAGCAAACCACAAATTGAGCCACGGAAGAACGAACAGTAGTAATTTGGGAATGGCCGTCGCTCATCTGAAAGGTTGAGAGAGGGTGAGGAGGAAGGAGCAGCACCGTACGGGAACTGATGGACCATCACATTTTTGATTTAGGAGATTAAGAATTTGAAACATGTTATTTTTTTCAAAGTGACGTTGCTTTTCCAGCTTTCAGAGCAAATGCCAAGCTACTTACAAAGGGATAATAATATGAGAAGTGCTCACTTTATCATTTACTTTCCAGTTAATGAATTAAAAAATGCTTTTAAAATACACTTTTATAGTTTAACTGTGTCAATGTTTAGCATTCAAACAGATTAACACTATGCAAGTACAGATGTTTGTGGTGGTGAAGTTAAATTGATAACCAGAGAGCAAATGAGCCAATTACCATGTAAAATAAGATTTTTAATGGAGGATTATGTGTTCCGTTACCAAACAGACAATTAAACTTCAAAGAAGACTTGGCAGCTCAGCCCACACTCCTATCCCTCTTAATGTCAGCACGAAAAAACAACTATGTAAACCGCAAGACGCTTGCACAGGATTTCACATGCGCTGCGGTACGCTTAGAGAGTCCCTATACAAGAGCATCTTTCATCCTTTTGTAGATTTAGAAGACAAAATATTTTGATCGCAACAGTGATCAAAAAAAAAAGGAAAGAAACCCCAACAACCTACGTCAGCAGTTGATTTTTCTAAGCCAAATCCCAGTAAAGGTGAAATATTTGAAAAATAATATGCTTTTTTTAGACCAAGAGCTCTGAAATAATAGGAAGAGCCGAGGAGCTACGCATATGCAAGAGGAATTGCACCCAAGTTGAAGTGGGAAGGGATGCTGGGCATGGATCCTGGGCTTGGATCCCGTTCCGCGAGTAGCGTGATCAGAAGGAAATGGAAACAAATTGCCCCAACTCTCGGCTCCCCCATCTCTTCAGGTGTAAGAGCAGCGAGAGGCACCACACTACCAGACAGGACAAACTCTGATCTTCATCACCTTTGTGCACCAGCACGATCCAACACGGCGAATTCACAAAGAAAAACGTTGGTTTAGGACGCACATTATCTGTGCGTTGTTTTTTTAAATGCTCAAGGGTTAGAAACCTTTGAGTAGCTACGTGGGGAGTATTAAAGCAGCATCATTTATTCTGAACTTTACAGAATGACTGTTTCTTCAAATGTCTCTTCAGCGGTCAGTAGCTCCTGCCTGACTACTCTTGTAGTCTCTCATTAAGACAGAAACTTTGTGGCCTTCAGGGGCGTAGTCGAAAGAATCTATCTTCAATTCAGCCATCTGTACTGCTTCAAATGAGAGAGAAATTAATTACATTCAGTCCTCCTCTCCATCTCTTGAAGAGCTTTCCTTTCAGTCTTACAATCCCTGACAGAAGACCAAAGGTTTCTGGTTTCACAATCCCATTTCAAACCTGAAACATCAAGCTGAGCTATAACTAGACAAGAAAAGGAAAAATTCAAGTTCTGCACAAATAACAGATCAATAATAATAATCAAACCAGAACTTTCAACTTTCTTAGTTACAAGCACAGTGAACCTCCTCCCACAATAACCAAATCAAAATGCTACTATTGTAGATAAGATCTCATTTTTATGCACGTTAACCTTTCCCAAAAGACAAATCCCCTCCACACTGCTCCCCAGGAGGAGGAAGGAAACCCTTAACGGTGGCAAAGCAGTGATACCTGATAATCAGACTTGAGCAACAAAGAAAACCTTGCAGAGGCAAAGGAGTGATCTCAAGCAGGCAGGCAATTTAGCTCACCATAATAAGAAAAAAAATAATCTAAAAGTCTAAAATCTTTTTTTAAAAAGTATCCAAAAATGAACTAAGCATTGTATGCCTAGTACTCCTCAAAGGACAGGCAGCTGCACTGTTATCTCACTTCCTAATATATTTAGAACACTGTCTGTCGTACATGAAGCGCATAATAGTCTCATTTTGACGCAACAGAGACACAGATTGCAAACTAGACTTTAAAAAGACTTATTCTCTTCTTAAAAAGCATTAATAAATACAGCTGTTGGTCCAAGCACAGCATCAGATGAAAGCCAGCACACACGTGATCAACTGTAAAAGGCAGATATCATCTCTCTTACAGCGCTTTGGTATTTCCCCACGTCCTGTCACCTTCTTCATTCTGTGCGGATGAATCACTCTCTTGCTCCCATCAATTCACCAAACTCCCGTAGACACAACTCTGCTCTTAAATGAGTCCCTCAAGAGCTACCGGTGTAACTGCAAGTGAAAACTCATTAGCACCACTAACCAAAGGAGTTTTGACTCGTCTAAACAGGTCTCTGGTTAAGTGTAGGGTGAGGAAAAGCATCATCTGTAAGTCAGGAGAACGTCCTCCACCTGTGATTGCTGGCCTAACAATGAGAGACTCGAAGGAAAACCCGAGATCTTGCTCAGCAGCGCGGTGTCCCAACCCAACAAGACAGCTCGTACTAGGGTTATATTTCCTGGTTAAGCATGATGCGTGTGTTTTGTCACCTGCTGTTTTCTATACCATGAACAAAGGATATGCATTAACCCCGCTGTAGGACTGTTCCTTCCCTTTGCACGCTGAGACAGCGCGAGAACTTCAACAGCCTCAGGCAGCCAAAGGACCAAAATGCAACAACTGAATTTCCAAAGAGAATTTATCAAGGACAAGACTGAAGTTGGC